TTAATCCTCCACAATCAGAAAAGACTATTTATAATAAATTGTTGTGAAAAAGTGAAAATTCTTCTTGTTGATAAAAGTGTGATCATTATTAATGTAATGGAATTTCATGGAATGTATTATAATAAAATAACACTGAAGTAACATGTGTCATAAATATGAAGGTATCAGTGAATATTAAAGGAGTTTTATCAGGTCAACTATGGTGAAATATCTTTATAAACCAAAACTGAATTTGTTCCATTCTATGAAGTGAAAACGTTTCTTTTCTCTGGACGGTTTTTAACAGTAACGACAGTTTCAGTGAGTTTCTAACGTGAGTTTTTGTGTCATCAGGCGAGTAGAAAGACAAAGAAGAAGGAAGGAGGCGCCAAACGAGCTCAGAGGGCCTCGTCCAACGTGTTCTCCATGTTCGAACAAACTCAGATCCAAGAGTTTAAAGAGGTAAAGTCCCGTTCGTGAGGTTTAACTTATTATTTGAAACATGTTCTTATATTTTTTACGTTTGTGATTCAGGCGTTCACACTGATCGATCAGAACCGAGACGGATTCATCGACAAAGAGGATCTGAAGGACACGTACGCGTCTCTGGGTTCGTAGCTCTGATGCTAAACCGACACATGATCAGATTCTTCCTGCTCCGTCACAGATTCATCTCTGAGGTGTGTGTGTGTGTTTCAGGTAAACTCAACGTGAAGGACAATGAGGTGGAGGACATGTTGAGAGAAGCCACTGGTCCCATCAACTTCACCATGTTCCTCAACCTGTTTGGAGAAAAGTTGCACGGTGAGAAAATCATATTTCCTCCGAGGTTTAATCTTCTAATATTTATTTTGAGACTGGAGCTGACGAGGGGTCAGAGGTCATGAACTGACGGAAGGTTTTCTGTGTTTTCAGGCACTGACCCTGAGGACACCATCTTAAACGCTTTCAAAATGTTTGATCCTGACGCCAAAGGCTTCGTTCACACGGACGAGTGAGTCGTCAGCTCTTACGAACGTCTCTCTGCTGTTTGAACAAATCTAAGTGTCCTGTTTCATTTGAACAGATTACAGAATTTGCTGATGACACAGGCCGACAAGTTTTCATCTGAGGAGGTAGAGAAGGTTTCTGATGACGTCATGAGTCTATCGAAGGATTTCATCACTTCACATTATTACGTTTAAGTTAAATTACGTTTCTTACAACCCGTCTGTCAACGTGTGTCGTTTCAGGTGAAGCAGATGTTTCAGTCGTCAAATATCGACACAGCAGGAAACTTGGATTACAAATCTCTGTGTTACATCATCACACACGGGGAGGAGCAGGAGGAATAAAAACGTCTCTGCTGCTGTTTGGTTGTGATGCGTTGAAGCTTCGAGACTTTGTGATGAAATGATGAAAATAAAGAAAGAAAAACTGAAGGAAACCTCGATCTGTAATTCACAGAAGTCACGTTGTCCATCTTTATTTACAACACGTCACCACTTTGTGAACAGAATTAGAAAAACACTTTATTAGAAACTTGTTTTGAAAGTAGTTCCTCGTTTCAAAGTCGTCACCTGAGTTTAAGTCTGTTCAGTCCAGAGATGATCAGCTCTGTCTACAGACGTCTCTGTGTCCACGGCGTCATCGGAGGCGTCCGTGGTCGTGACAGGCGGCGGCTCGAGCGTCTGTGAAGACGAAGAAGGCCAGAGAGTACGCAGGAAGCTGCAGGTGATCAGCCGGAGGAAGACGTACTCCCTTGAGGTCGGGGAGAGTTTTATCGTCCACCATCTCCAGCACGTCTCCGTTCAGTTTCACAGACCTTCAAAAAATTAAAAGACAGATTTTCATTATTGATTCATCAATTAATCAATTAGTCTAAAACACATATCCTGACTCTACAGAGACGATTTCTAAATCCTCAAAATATTAAGATACATTCACTGATTCCACTTCTATGATGAGATGGAAGCAGCAGCAGTGACTGTGTGTTTAGATCCGGTGGACTGCTCCTTTAATGAAGCTCCTGAGGAATCTGTAAACTCCTCTAACACTGAAACTAAGTGACACAGTGTGAGTCTCCTCGTGACTTGAGGAGCTGAGTCCTCAGGGATAAATGGGCACATTGACGGAGGCACCTGGAGTAGAGCCCCTCCTCCCCCGGCCGGTCGGCCTGCAGGACAAAAGCCTCCACTGTGCCCGAGGAGACGAGCGCAGGAGCCGAGATCTGGGCTGGTTTCTTACTCAGGTTCATGGACATCAACGTGAGCGCTCCGCTGCTGTAGCTGCGGACACGGACAGAGCGGGGCGGGGTTATTACAGGAAGTTACATCAGATGAAAACAGGGTGATGTTGAGAGAGAACCTCTTTGTGTTGGAGCAGTGCAGATACACTCTCACTCTTTTGCTGCGGCCGAGAGCAGAAACCGCCTCAATCTTCAGAACCTCCGGTCCCACGAGTCTCTTGTAGAGAAGAGACAACCAGTAGTCCTGAGAGACGACACGTGAGGTCAGCAGCAACTCTGTTCACTCTCACAGGAAGTAGTTATGAGAGAAATATTCACGCTCTAATGTTCAGAATCTGTGTCATCAGACTGTCCATCGCTGCAGCTCCTCTCTTCAGCCTCTGTCTCAAACTCTTGGTTTTAGCTCCTGTCTCTTTAAGACCCCCCCTCCTGATAAAGCCCAGTGTGCTCTGATTGGACAGCTGGTCCGCTCTGTTGTGATTGGTCAGGAAGTGACCGCCCCTGCTCTGGGTTTAGCTTTGTCTTTATCGTCCCGACCAACATGGACGTTCAGTCTACGTTCATTTACGATTGTTAACTAATCAGTTCATCTAACTCACTGGGACGATGAGACACGTCCTGCTGCAGCAGACATTTAGAGAAGAGGTGAAGAAGAAGGTCTTACAGGAAGTGGGTCCAGGTTGTCGTCGACCAGGTGGTAGCTTCCAGAACCAATGAGCACCTGCCTCATCACCACGTCCAGGCCCAGAGTGGCTGCCAGGCCCAGTTTGTCCAGCCACCTGCAGGGGGCACACTCTCACTGTAACACTGTGTGTGTGTGTGTGTGTGTGTGTGTGTGTGGGGGGG